CCCAGTTCTACAGAAATACCTCCAAGTTCCCTGGCAAGGTGTGCTAGATGCCAGCATAGGGCCCCGGTGATACCTGCTGCCTGCCAGCCAATGCACCTGTTGGCTTTTCCAAGGATGCTCCTCCCACCAGAGCAACCCTGCTCACTCCTCGGGCCCTTCTTCTGGACTTGTCCAGGTCGGTTCCCACTCTGTAATAGCCGCCATGATGTGGCACTGAGTATGCTGGGGTCTCCCGCCACACACTGTGAGCACTTCTAGAGTGCAGCCTGGTGTCACTCTGCTGCTGAGTTTCAAGTACTGGGCATGAGGTAAGGGTGAGGCAAGAGGCTCTGGCCTGGGGGTGTGGGGGGACTCCTTCCCTGGGCCAGGAAGCAGGTGGTATTCTCTGCAGGCTTGGACCAGCCTCCTCTGTTACCACCACCTTGCCAGCTCTGTAGCCACAGTCACAGCAGGTTCCCCAAGCCCCCTTCTCATGGATAAGCAGATGCAATTTAAAAGGGGGAAACATGCCAAAGGACCTGAGATAAATAATGAAAATTTAAAAGCACACACAGAGCCCCAAGAAGTAGATTTTCAATGGAATCTGAGGTGGAGAAATTAACTCCGACCCCAAAGCTGACCCTTTATTGGCTGTGTTGTTTGGTTGCCTCCTACCTCTGGACTTACCCCCACAGCTCCCCTCACCTGCCCCCTTCACCCCCTGATGCCCCTCTCAGCTCCTTGGTCCCCCTCATCTCCCCTAGCCCCTTGTTCCCCTTCACCCCCTCAGCCTCATCAGCCCCCTCATTTCCTCGTCCCCCTTGCCCCCTTCATCTCCTCACCCCCTCACCCACCTCACTCTGCTTGCCCCCCTTCACCCCCTTGCCACCTTGCCCCTCTCACCCACCTCATCCCTGGGTTCCACAGCTCTGACCCAGACTCCCTACGACTGTGGTTGACTCCTTTGTTCTCCACATGATCAGGACAGAGCCCCGTGCTGACCGGGAGCCTATCCCATGTGTATCTGAGCTCTAACTCAAGGCCACTTTCCTAAGATACCAGGTTACTTCTGAGCACTGACCTCTCCCCCGTCAATCTACCTTGGGGAGAACCTTCTAGAACCATGATGCTCTGAAGCATACATGCATCCCACCATCATGAGAGGGCTCACGGACACCATTGGCTCCCAACAGAAAGATGTTCCAAAAGTGAGAGGTGCCTTGGCTTAGAGAGGTTATGGCTCTGGGATCCTGCAGGCAATTAATGCCCGAACTTAGAAAGCTCACGGTACCCAGAAGCTAGAAACCTAACCCAGTTATGGTGCCCGGAAGGTGGGGCTAGTCAGGGGGTTTGAGAGTGCACCTTTGGAGGGTAGTTCTTGAAAGAGAGTTGGCTGGAAAAGCCTGAGTCGGGCCCAGCCATTCCCTCTGCTTGCTGGATCACCATTTGACCATGCCCTGAGACCCATTCTGCCACAGCCACCCTGCAGCGTCACCAGGTGGACAAACCAGTGGTCTCAACACCTACTCAGACTGTTCATTTGCCAAGTCAGAAGCCAAACAAGCCTCCTCCTTCTATAAGTAGTTTGTCTCTGGTAAAAAAAAAAAATTACAGTATTTTTTTTTAATTGGAAAGTCAGATACACAGAGAGCAGAAGAAATAGAGAGAAAGATATCTGTCCACCCATTAACTCCCCAAGTGGCTGCAAAAACTGGTGCTGAGCTGATCCAAAGACAGAAGCCAGGAGCTTCCTCTGGGTCTCCCATATGGGTGCAGGGTCCCAAGGCTTTAGACCGTCCTCTGCTGCTCTCCAGGCTACAAGCAGGGAGTTAGATGGAACGCGAGGCTGTGGGGATTAGAACCAGTGCCCACATGGAACCCTGGCGAGGACTCTAGCTGCTAGGCCACCGTGCCATGCCCACAAGCAACTTTTTAAAGTATGGCAGGAGAAAGGAGGATGTGTGGAGAGGAGAGCTGGGGACAGGGCGAGAGCTGAGGGGACTGCAGGAGACCTGGACAGCTTTCTCTTCTAAGCCAGAGTGCAGACCCATGAAGGGCAAGTTTTACTGCTTAAGATCCTCTCTGGAACCAGCATGGTACACAGCAGCTAATCTCCAGCCTGTGGCGCCAACACCCCATATGGGCACTGGTTCATATCCCATCTGCTCTATTTCCCTGTTTGTGGAAAGCGGTTGAGAACAGCCCAAAGCCTTGGGACCTTGCACCCACGTGGAAGACCCAGAGAAGCACCTGGTTACAGATGAGCTCAGCTCCGGCTGTTGCAGCTACTTGAGGAGTTAACCAGCTGACGGAAGTTCTTTCTCTCTGTTTTTCCTCACTGTGTGATTCTGCCTTTCAAGTAGATTAAAAACTTTTTTTTTTCAAGTTACTGTGTGGGTCCTGGGCTAGGGAGAAGGTTGCAGGAGCCAGCATCCTTCAGAGCCAGCCAACAGGTAGGAAAGTACTGGAGAGGCCTCCCAAGTCCAGGTCTGGTGGGCAGCAGATCAGGGGTCTTGGACACATCCAAGGATCCAGGGCAGCACAGGTGTGTGGGTGGCAAGGGAATGGAGAACAAGCAGCAGCAATGCAGCCTTGGGGTTGCTGGAGACAGGCATTCCCCCCCTCCCCAAGGCGTCCTTCCCCATTGACAGAAACCCACACTGGGAGTTCATGTCTTCCCAAGAGGGCCTCAGACAGTGTGGGCACGTGTGAGATCAGGGCAAACGGGAGAAGGGGCAGGTCCAGCAGCCCGGGGCCCACGGAGGACAGAGGAGACAGGGCGCATGCTGTCCACCTACATGGCTTCCTAGGTGCAGATGTGGTGCCGGGGGTGGAACGGAGGGAACGAGGCTGCAGGGGGGCTGCAGGGGGGGGGGGCTGCAGGGCTGAGGCTCCAGTGAGGAGACCATGAGGTCTGAGCAGAGGCAGGCAGGAAAGGAGCCAGCACTAAGCCCGGGACTGGCACTGCAGCATCCTCACCGGACAACTACTGTGAACTTGCTCCAAGACAGGGCGGGCAGGAATCAAAGGAGGAGGCAGCAGCAAGGCGAGGGTTCTTGTCAGGATGGGGAGATTTGCCACAGGAAAGAGACAGAGCTCTCAGGTGGATGGGTACAAGGAGGGGCAGAAGGTGGACTGCACAAATAGGCCCCACACCCATGTCCAGGGTGCAGGGAGAAGAGAGATACGTGAGGAAGAGACTGCATTTTCTGGCTTTTGTTAAATCTTGTGATTTGCAAGAGTTGGGCAAGGTCTCACATTCTCCGTCTGACCAGCTCCCAGGTGATGGCAGAGATGCTGGTGCAGGACTCCTAGGGCCCAAGGAAGGAGTCATCCATCCGGGTCAGTGTGGGGCAGGACACCAACTCCCCGCCGGGTGCCTTGCCTCTGAAGAAGGGAGCTGACAGCAGCAGGAAGGTGACCATGTGGGGTATCTGAGTGCAGGGCCATCACAGCGGGCCACCTTCGGGCAGTGCCTCGGCAAGGCTCTGGGCTCACAACCTGCCTAGGACGCATCAAGCCAGCATGTAAGGATGAGGCACAGAACGGCTCTGCCCCAGGTCAAGGTCAAGTGACTCCTGCTCTGGAAACTAATACAAGAGAACAGACCGGGAAGCTAGAGCAAAGATTGGCCATAAGCAACCCAGAGGTTCCTCCAAGGCACAGGTGGGCAGGGCCAGGCAAAGGCCAGGGATGGGGTATCGGGACAGGGGAGGCCCTCCGCCAGAGAGGGAGATTTGACGACTCCTCGGAGGGGAAACAGAGGCAGGTTCTCCCTGCCAAGAGCGGGCAGGAGAGCCCAGGCGGGGCGTAGCACACGAAGAGCGCAGCTCCGAGGCGTCAAAGTCAAGGGCTGATGCGGGATGCGGGAGGCGGGCGTCGGTGCAGGGGGACGGCGGGCACGGAGCACGGGGACGAGGTGACTCCGAGCGCTGCGGGGCGCGCTCCTCCCGGCCTGGGGCCCCGGATCCCACCGGTCCGGGGGTTCCTCCCTCGACCGCAGCCAGGCCGCAGCCCGCAGCCCGCAGCCCCCAGCCCCGGCGACCGACTCGCCAGGGTCCGCCCTGCCGCCGCGGCCCGAGCCCGGCCGCTCCTCCCCCGATGATGTCACGTCCCCGGCCGCCCCTCGGCCGGCCGCGCCGCCCCGCCCCCGCCGCCCCGGCCCCCCGGTCCCCTGGGCCCGCCCGCTGCCGACATCCCTCCTCCCGCCCGCGCTCCCTCCCTTCGGCTCCCGCTCCCCCGGGAGCGGCGGCGGCGGCGGCGGGATGGCCCGGGCCCGCGGCCAGGCCCCGGGGAGCGGTGCGCGTTGGCGGCGGCGGCCGCGGCGGGGCGGCGCGGGTGCCGGGCCCCGGGGGGAGTCGGCCGGGCTACTGCTGCTGTTGCTCCAGGTGTTGCCGCCCGGGGCTGCGGCAGGGCCGGGGCGCCGGGGCACGCGGGGCGCGGGCGGCGGCGGCGGCGGCGTCTGCTGGCCCGCCGCTGCCCCTGTCTTTCCCCGGGACGCGCGGCTGCTGCTGCTCCTGCCGCCGCTGCCGCCACTGTCGCCGCCGCGCTCACCGCCCGCAGCCTCCGCCTCCCGGATGGTAATCAGCGCCCCGCGCCGGCGCCGCGGGCGGGCGGGCGGGAGGTGGGAACGACGGTGGGGGGGTGGAAAGGGCGGGCGGTCCCGCGCCCCCGCCTAGCCCGTGGCAGCCCCCGGGGGCGCTGGGGGCCCCCCTCCCTCCCTCTCCGACGACCACGGCCCTGGGCCGCCACCAGAGCGCGCCTCTGGGGCGCCGAGCGGGTGCGGGCTCCACTCCCCGCCCTCCCCGCCCCGCTCGCCGAGCGCCCGCCAGCGCTCAGGCCGCGGGGGAATCCCTCCATCTCCCCGCCCTGCGCCCCGGGAGGGGAGGGGACAGCGGCGGCGCCGGCGGACCCGCTTTCTCCGAGGGAGCGCCCTAGAGGCGAGCGCACACTGAGCCGCCCGGACTGCGCGCTGCCTTGCGTTCCTGGAGGCGCCTGGTGCCGTCGGGTCGGGCTGAGCCACGACGCCCCCAGCCTCCTCTGGGCGGTGGGGGGCGCCCACCCACAGAGCGCCCTTATGTTCCCTGCGCAGGATGCTCTGGCCCGCGGCGGGCTGAGCCTGAAGGAGGAGCCGCTGCTGCCCGCCAGCCTGGGCTCGGTGCGCTCCTGGATGCAGGGAGCGGGCATCTTGGACGCCAGCACCGCGGCGCAGAGGTAAGCGCTTGGAGCGGCCCCAGCGCTCCGGGGCTCGACGGCTCCGTGCCATCTTCTCTCTCGGCTGCCTTAACCAAAGACGTGAAGGGGTGGAGGGAGCCCCAAGTCTGGATGGTCCCAAGTTCTCCCGCCCACCCCGTCCCGAGCGCCTGCGCTTGCTCCTGCCGCTCTGGGGCGGGGCTTCTGGCCGCACTTGCGGCTGGCTGTCCCGGCTCTGATTTTTGACGGCCGCGGCAGCAAACGCCAAGTGAGGCAGAGCATCCCAGGGTTTAGCAGCGTCGCTGCATGGGTTTCCTGAGCCGTGAGTTACCCACAGCTAGCAGCCGTCTACGAACAGCCAACTCCTTCCTGGGCAGCCTGATGCCTCTGCGCGACTTTCCCAGGAAATACCAGAAACGCAGCTACTGGGTCTCCTCTTCTACGCGCCTCATAATTGGAGAATAGGAGACTGTGGCTAGGGGCAGCATGGGGACAAGACGAAGTGGACAGTCGGCCTGGCCGGGACTGGGACTGGGTCAGGGCCCCGCCTCTCCATCAGGTGTTTTTCTGGTAGTTCTGTGGGAAGCTGGGAGCCCATGGGAATCTGGCACCCACGCCTATCTCCAGCTGACTCCTTTGCTTGGGAATGGGGCTGGGATGGACTCAGAATTTGGCCTTGACCTTTAGAAAGATTTGTTGACTCAGAGATCTTGTGTATCCAGCGCTCTGAGCATGGCGTCACGCCCTGGAGAGGGGCTGGGGCCCGGTGGGCACTTGCCTCCCTGAAGGGTGGGCTGCAGTAGCCTGAAATGATCCTGGTAGGGAAGTGCCAGGGGGGCCCACATTCACATCCCCAGTGGGCTTAACACCCAGCAACAGACACACTGTCTTGGTTTTTGAGGGGACAGAGAGAGAGGAAGAGTTTCTATCTGCTCTCCCCAGTGGCGTGGCATGTATCAGAGTGACCCACCTCAGAGCCAGGAACTTATTCCCAAGTTTCCCATATGAGTGACAGGGACCCAACTGCTTGAGTTGTCACTTGCTGCCTCCCAGGGTACATATGAGCTGGAAGCCCCCCGACAGTATCAAACTCCTGCTGTCCCTTAGGGGCCGTGGGTAGTCTGTTAGGCCAGACAGGTGCAAATGGAAGCCTTGTGTCTACCCCCACCCCCATCCTTTCACGGCTGCCAGAGGCTGGGCCCATTTGGGCTGTGCGATCTCTCCAGGGTGAGGAAGGGTCTTGCAGATGACTTGATTTCTGTAATTTTTCACCGAGGGGCGGGGAGAAGCTGGAAAAAAAAAATTGAAGACCAAATTCTACTTTTCTCGGATCTGCGTTTTTCTGTGCTTTCTTCCCATCCTCCTCTACTCTAAGTTGTTTCTTCTGTGTTGTGGCTACAGTTTGGTGCCCTGCCAGTCTTTCTGTCGGTCCTAGCCTTTTAGCTTGAGATAGTCCATTTCTTAAAGTGGACTCGCCTTCTTCCCCTGTCTGAGGGGGTGGGAAATTCCCTGAGGGTGGGGTGGGGGCCTGGGTTCTTGAGTTTCTCTGACCTTCCCTCCTTGCTACAGGCTGTGTGGGGTGCGGGAAGTGTGGGGATGAGGCCCCTGCGAGGGCCGGCCCCAGCAGCGTGGCCTCTGCCTGTGGGCTCTGGAGTGGTAATGAGGTGGCCAGACTGAGTCTCCAGGGCCCTGTTGCTGAGCCTCAGGGGCTTACCTTATTGTCGATGGGCATCCTTCATCCCTGGGCTGCCTGTCCCCAAGTCTGGTGACTCCTCAGTCTCAGGACTTGGAGTGGGAGTCCCCGTGTGTGTGGTTGACTGTCGCGCAAGCTCCCTGTCCTTGCCCCTCTTTCCTGGTCCCTCAGTCGGTGCTCTGCCCTGCCCTGCCCTGCCCTGCCTGACCCCCTCTCTGGGCCTGGCTTGGCTTCCTGCATCTCCAGGCTGCTTGGGGCAGGAGCAGCTTCTTTGCTGCCTTCCTGGTCTTTGTCCCACAGCCACTTGGTCATTGAGGTTTTTGGCTGTGCCCCTCTGGGTCCTGGTCCCAGCCTCAGTGCCCAGAGCTAGCACGTTCAGCAGTAAATCTCCTCCTTGCCCTTCACCTCATTTTTCCCTGGCTTGAAGATGCACTTTATCCTGGTTTATGGACTTAGTCTTCTGGCCTCTTTTCACTCCCCTAAAACTGCCTTCCTTGCATCGGGACCCAAAGCAATGTTGCTAGCATCCTTTTCTCCAAGTCTCCCCCACGATGAACAGTAAGATGAGGCCACACTTCTCCGATGTACAACACACAAGGCCCCCCACCGACCTCCCTTGCCATCCTGTGTGACTCTTAGCCTGTGATGCCAGAATTGGTGGCACTGACAGGAAGTCCCCTGCAACTACCCCCTTTCCCTTGGCACCCACACAGCCACTGAATAAAGTCACCAACCTCAGGACCCCTTCCCCACCTCAGCACCTGCTTGCTCTGTGCCCTGTCCAGAGGAACAGTTCCGTGTGCCACCTAAGGATGCTTACCTGAGGCCATACTGGGCTTCTCGGTCTACACGCTGAGACACGAGGTTGGTGGTTCAGCCCTCTGTTGTTCATAGCGCCCACAGTGGGACAATGAACATGGGCCAGAGAAAGCAGGAGGGCATCTCGGTGGCTCCCAGGCCGCTTTCTGCTGGGTTCCCATCTCCACCTTGGAGAGCTCCAGCATCCGGGAATTGGAGCAACCACTCCTCCCTGGTTATACAACTTGGCATTTTTGACAAACGTCAAGGTTTTACAGAAGGTGGTGAGGGGAGGACCCAGGAAATGTGTCAGGAGCAGTGGGAGGCTGTCCCAGTTGGAAAGAGAGGCCTGGGCAGAAGAAGCAGGGCATGGAGAGAAGGGACTACATTCGCTTACATTTCAGGCACCCAGGGAGGAAAGCCCTGAAGGAGGAAGGCAGTGGTGAGGGCTCTTCTGTGCCTGCCACATTCTCCATATCAGGAACAGCTATGCAAAGAGCCCTTGCTGGGACTGCCCCAAACCAAGGGGACTTGGTCCCTCAGTCCCATGGCTCAAACCCCCTTCCTCCTGTTTGGCAGGCTCAGTTCCAAAGCAGCTTTCTTCTGCGACACTTCCTAGGGTGGGGAGACCCTTGGTGGGCCCAGGCCAGCCTTCCCTCTAGGGTGGGGAGGGGGTTCCCTGGAAGACCGAGCCTAGCCCTTCCCCTGGAGCTGGTCCCAGCATACTCAGGGCTCCCAAGGAGCAGCCAGCAGGGGCTGCCTTTCCTGTAAGCAGCTGCAGGCTAACCTCCCTGCTAGGAAATGCTTTTGTTTGCTTTAATAATTAATAGCCACTCCTCAGCCTGGGACCTGGCAGGCAGGCCTGTGGGTGGGTGGTGAGAGGATGGGTAGAAGAGAAGTGGGGTGGGCAGCCTTTACGTAGATTCAAGAGCCGGAGGAAGATCTCTTCCCCCCTATCTCCTTCCCTTTCCATCTCTTTTGAGGCCCTGAGCCAGTTTCTTGGGGCAGGTGCACAGAGCCACTGCTGGGGCAGCAGGAAGAAGGGGTATGAAGCCTCCACAGCCCCAAAAATGCCCTCCAGCTGGGTCATTAGGATATAATCCCTTCCTCTGCCCATTTGGGATGTTCCTGGGAGCTGTGGCTTTTATCTCCCTGGATTACAGCAGAGCCAGTCTCTGGGTATGCCTGGGGTTGGACAAGACCAGGCCAATAGTGCTTGCTGGAGGCAGGAGTGCCAGGCCAAGCCTGACACACGTCATGAAGCCCAGGGGCCTACAGGGGAGAGTGGGTGAACAGCAGGGTGCTCAGGGGAGGGTGGCTATGGAGGAGAGGGATGGGGACAGCAGACCTGGGTGTCATAGAGGAAAGGGATGGGGACAGCAGACCTGGGTGTCATAGAGGAAAGCACAGACCTGCCACAAGACATAGGAGACGTGTATACCTCTGGCCCCTTCCACCTCCTGGCTGGGGGAGCACCAGCACTGAAACCCTCTGTACTGTGGCCTCAGGACTCACCCCCGCCACTCTTTCCCCCATCATCCCAGAACCCAGGGCCAGTCAGGCACCAGCCAAGGCACCGCTGGGGACCATGGGCTGTGGAGGAGGCCAAGAGTTAGAATTTGGTGAGTGAGAGAGAAAACAGAGAGAAGGCTTGGGTGGAGGGGCTTGAGGAGAAACGAGAGCTCCACCCTCTTAACAATTGTCCACAGGGGCAGGGGTTGGGGAGAAGGGGCTTGTTAAATTGCAGGCATTCGCTGAGGCTGTAAAGGGCTGTGAGCAGCCTTACGCATGGAGAAAAGAGATGACAAGGTGGCTGTGTGTGTGAGTGAGCAGAGGGGCCCTGGGGCATTCAGAGTCCAGCCACACTCTTCTGCAGCGCCCCCACCAAGGCCCCACAGGGATCCCTTGGTGGCCTCGTGGCCCAGGTGGGACCTTCAGGGTCGTCCTTGGTGTCGACTTGAGTGAATTTGCAGCACCACATCCAGGAAGCCATGCTTGCACCAGGCAGGTTTCCTTCCTGCAGAAAGTTCCTGTGCAGGCTGAAGCTCCCTAGTCTCCCAGCTGCTGTTCATGAGCTTGGGGTGGATTTCAGAACAGGGGCGAGGGGGAGTGGGTATTGCAAAAATGTGAGGGGGGAATGCTTTGTCCTCCCACATCTGGGCTCCTTGGTACAAAATCAAGGGCTGCAACATCTCGGCGCAGTCTGGGGGTTCCCCGGGAGAGTGTTTTGAATGTCTTGTTGACAACAATTATTAAGACAGTGAGAAATTCCATCATTCACTTCCATAAATGGTTGATGCGGCTGTTTTCATCACTACGCTGTGTGTTTTCTGGAAAAGATACTTGTGTGGTGTGCTTTGCTCACTAGTGGTGCTAAGTAGCAAAATGTTTCCTAATTATGAGTTCCAGTATGTGTGCGAGGTGAGGCGGTTCTTGGGTTTGCCATGCTGTCTGGCAGGCTGCACGGAGGCGGCAGCTTTGCTGCCTTCTATCTACCTCCCGTGTACGTCCTAATGCTGGGTCTGGTCATCCGTAGCTCTTCATGTGTCCCCAGAGCCCCAGCTCGGCTTCTCTTGCTCTTGCTGGCTCCCCTTGACCTGAGGCCTTATTCAGGGGGCCACAGGCAGCACTGCCCTCCTGGCAGGCACCCAGAAGCACCTGCTGAAACCACAGCCTTAGCAGCTCTCCGTGCTTGGCTGGAGCTGTGGGATAAATACTCTGGCTGCCTCACCCATCCCATGGGGATCATTTGGAGGAGGCACCTGCTCTAGTTTCCAGAGTTTCCTGTGGGATGGAGCTGCACCACACCTGGAGGGGACTTGGAAATATACCGCTTGTGGGCTGCCTTTTCACTTTCTTCTCTCCCTGCCCCTCAATGCAAGTAAACTGTGACTGTCTCAATCTGCCTCAGGGTCTGCTTGTGGGGAAACCCAGGTCCCTACCTCCATTCTACCTTCTCAATTGCTTTTAGATAAAGGATATACCCATCATTCCCCACACCACCCAGTGGGTGTTTTGGGCAGACCACACAGTCAGACATCAATCTTTGTCCCCATCACTGGCACTGAGCCAGTCTGAGAGTAGGCAGTACCCCCACCTCCCGCCTGGGTCCCACTTGTCTGCACCCAGGCTACACCCATCCAGGGCTCTCACTCTCAGACCACTTGATACTTCTGTTGTTGCATTTCTTGTTCCTTTCCATTCTTTAACCTTGGCCTGTTTTCTCATTACAAGAACATCAGCTATTCCCAGTGGGAGAAGAGCAAACCTTTTGGGGCTCGCAGTTCCATTCAGCGACCGACCGTTGATTGGTCACTGGTGTGGTTGGTGGGGGTGGGGGGCAGGCACTTCCCCACCTACCTGTCTTCTCTCCTTTGCCTCGAATGTCTTTAGAACAAAGCCTTCTAATTATTTTGCGTTGATGGCCTCAGCTAATCCAGCCACCATGCTCCATGGATGGGTGTGAACCTCATAGCACCTGCTACCCCGCCCCCCCCACCCCCCCGCAGCTGTGGTGGGGAAGGGCAGGTGACCCTCAGGGCTGTCTCAGGGTGAGGGGAGCTAAGCCGAACCCTGCAGGGATCAGGTCGCAGTCTGGTGAGGTGGTACAGCCCCCTGGTCCTGCACCTGGCAGCATTGCATGCTGCTCCATGGCCACCAAAGGCACCTGCTCTTCTCTGCCCACTCCCACCCTGTGCCCTCTCTCCCCAGTAATCCTCTCCTACCTGAGTACAGGACCTTCCATGAGAGCTTGGCTTGGGGCTCAGGCCAGACTTCCAAGGAGCCTGGCAGTAGCTGGGGCAGCCAGGGCCCCGGGGCTGGCTGATGTTTGCCAGTGGGTGAGAGAGGATACTTATATCAGGTGCTCTGCACTTGCCTGGGATTCGGCCTGTGGCACAGGGGTAGCACGTGGAGTGATCTGGGAGAGACTGTTATTTATTTAGTGTCCTGGCAAGGTGACCCAGGGGACCCTCCACAAGCCTCTGCCCTCCTCTTTCACTTACTTGGTGGTCCTGTTCCCCAGGTAGAGGGAAGAGTTCCAGGTTGGGTCCATTAGCATATTCATGAGCTGTAATCAGGGACCTGCTGAGATCCAAAGCCCTCTTTGGGCTTCCCTGCCTGGGGCTAGCTGGGGAGGAGGCTGGGCATGGTCAAGGTCCCTACTGGGGCTGTTGGCTGAGGGCAAGGGCAGGAAGCAGAGGAGGGTGGATGGAGCATCTGTGGTGAGAGAAGGTATGGTGGCCCTCGGTTTTGCACACTAGCTCACCATTCCCAAGGGCCATCCTTTCATGATGATTGTAATCTGCAACAGTAACACCCAGCAAGCCCCTCCTGCCGGCTCAGCTCAGGAAGAAGCAGAAGAAACAGTTGAGTGTAAATGCCTAGAATAATGACAGAATGGTGGCATGCCGGTGCTGAGTGCATGGGGGGGGAAAACTTGGGTGCAAAACATCTTGGAAATCCGTGCATGTAAGGCAGTCTTCCTAAAGCCAATGGAAAATACAGATTAGGGGCCCTGCGCAGTAGTTTAATGACTAAAGTCCTCGCCTTGCACACACCAGGATCCCAATATGGAAGCCAGTTCATGTCCTGGCTGCTGCTCCACCTTCCTTCCAGCTCCCTGTTTATAGACTGGGAAAGCAGTTGAGGAAGGACGGCCCCAAACCTTGGGACCCTGCATCAGTGTGGGAGACCTGGAAGAGCTCCTGGCTTCAGATGGGCTCAGCTCTGGCTGTTGCAAACACTTGGAGAGTGAACCAGTGAGTGGAATATCTTTCTGTCTCTCCTCTGTGTAATTCTGACTTTCCAATAAAAATAAATAATTCTTTTTTTTTTTTTTAAGATTTGTTTTATTTTTGCTGGAAAGGCAAATACACAGAGGAGGAGAGACAGAGAGAAAGATCTTCCATCTGTTGATTCACTCCCCAAGTGGCCACAACAGCCGGAGCTGCGCCAATCCAAAGCCAGGAGCCCGGAGCCTCTTCTGGGTCTCCCGCTTGGGTGCAGGTCCCAAGGTTTTGGGGCATGCTCACCTACTTTCCCAGGCCACAAGCAGAGAGCTAGATGGGAAGCGGAGCTGCCAGGATTATACTTGTGCCCATATAGGATCCTGATGTATGCAAGATGAGGATTTTAGCTGCTAGGCTACCCTCCGGGCCCAATAATTCTTTAAAAACAAATAAACAAACAGATTAGGAAAACCCTGCCTGGGTCCCAAAATGCTTCTGCACCAAAGTCTTCTGCTCTCTGAATTCCATTGTCCATAAACTTTTTGAAGCATCTTCATGTCAGTTGTCTATTGCTGCATAAAAGGGGCCAGAAATCAACAGGGCAGACATGTTGCATCCTGCAGCAGAGTTCCTGGGTTTGAGTCCCAGCTCCGGCTCTCAGTTCCAGCTTCCCAAAAAAGCAGACCATTGGGAATAGTGGGTGATGGTTTGGGTAGCTGAACCCCTGCCTCATGTGGGAGAGTTGGATTTGGTGCAACCCAGCCCAGTCACGGCAGTTGCAGATAGGTGGGGAGTAAATCAGTGGATGGGAACTCTGTGTGTGGCTTTCAAATTAAAAGAATCACTCCCAATGTTCAGCAAAAACTCGGCTGATGACTTGGGCCCACCCTCTAGGCAGGCATCACGCAAAGGATTGACTGGACTGGTGGTTGGGCTTCCCAGGGTGCTCCCAAAGGCCCCTTGGTGCTGGGTTTTGTCAGGAGGGCCTCAGGTCATCACCATGGGGCTGCTGGAGTGTTCTCCCAATGTGATAGCTGGTTTCCCCTTGAGGGACTGTCCAAGGGAAGCTGCCATGAGTTGGTGGTTGAACCTGGGAAGTCTCATGCTGTAGCATCCACAGAGTTGTACTGGCCATGCAGAGCAATCCCCAGAGAGCGAAATTGGCAAGGAGCAGGGTCAGGGTCTGCCTCCTGGAGGTTGGGCAGGGACTGGCTCCCGCAGAAGCAGCGGCCATTCCCAGGGCCTGCCAAAGCACACTTACATGGTGGAGCTGTACCTCCCAGCACATGTGGCTCCAGCACCCTTTTCTGAAGGAAAGGTCTGGATCAGAGATGAAAGGCCAACTCCTTCCTCATGGCTCATGAGCCCAAATGGAAGGGCATGGACTTCCAGTTAGAAACTCAGTTCTCCTCACTTCATTTCCTAAACTCCATGGCACATGGCAGTGACCTGTGCCCTCCAGGGACCGTTTCCTATGCTGTCGGCTCTGCCCTTTGGCCTCGTTCTGCGGAAGACTCTAGGGCAATGGGAGAGTGGCTCTCTGCACAAAGTTTCCCCCTCATCTGCTATGAAGAATTGGCTGTTTGCTTCATTTGTTTATTTAATTTGTCACAGAATGGCATCCTCCTGGTTCTGTATACCTGTCTCTTCTTGTTCTCTTTCTCTTGCTCTCATCCTGGCCTTGTTTCTGGGGATGGTGTCTGATGAACCAGAAGATAGCCCTGGACAGGGATACCCAAACCCAAGGTGCAGTGCTGGCCATTCATACACATCTAGCCCTGGGGAGGGCCTTCTGTGGCTTCAGCCAGAGCCCAGGAGCCAGCCTCATGTCTCAGCCTGTCTGAGCAGCCATGCTTATAGGCTCATGTAATCCTCAGCCATGGCCTGGGTACCATAGGATATTCCTTCCAGAGCCTTCCCAGTGCCCTTGACACCCTAAAGCCCAGTCCTGGGACCCCCATCAGTGAAATGGATTGGTCCCTATTTTGGACTTGGAGATCAAAAATGGAGGGACCCAGGAAAAAGAGTGGCACGGAGAAGAGGGGCCAGATGGGGGTACCTTTGTCACAGCACCTGCTGTGCCCCTTTAGTCCCAGGGGAACAGGCTGGGGCCGCTTCCATCTGTCCCGAGATGGCCACTGGACAGGGTGGAAAGGGCTGGCTGTATTTGATTTCCATTCCCCTGGGGCTTTGGCTGTTTGTGCGGGTGTGGCCGGAGGCATGGGGCCCCTCTTACCGAGGCCGTTCCGGTGGTTTTCCAGCTCCTTTCCTCCCGCAGTGGCGTGGGCCTGGCGCGAGCACATTTTGAGAAGCAGCCTCCCTCCAACCTCAGGAAATCCAACTTCTTCCACTTCGTGCTGGCCATGTATGACCGGCAGGGGCAGCCCGTGGAGGTGGAGCGCACAGCCTTCATCGACTTTGTGGAGAAGGAGCGAGTGAGAGGCTCATGGGCTTGGCCGGGAGGGAGGGACTCCCCCTTCCCCACATGCACTTTGGGATGGGCAATGGACAGTGGATGGGTGGGGAGGATTGGAGGCTGGTGAACGGGCATTGGGGAGTGTGAGGGAAGAGGTCTGGGAAGTTGGGGTACCCCTGAGCAACTGAACATCCTCTCCATCTTGTCCCTGCAGGAGCCTGGGACTGAAAAGACCAACAATGGGATCCACTACCGCCTGCGGCTGGTGTACAACAACGGTGAGCGAAGGCCACACCTGTGAGGTGCTAAGACCTGTGAGGTGCTAAGAACCTGGTCCAGGAGGGTGTGGGTGTGGCCATCAGCGCAGGCTCCAGAGGCTCCTCCCCTTCTAGTAGGTGCTCTCCCCCTTTCCCCCACAGGACTGCGAACAGAGCAAGACCTCTACGTGCGACTCATTGACTCCATGTCCAAGCAGGTGAGCCGGCCCAGTGGGGGCTGTGGCTGAACCATCCTTCTCTCAGATGCCAACTGCTGCTCAGTTTGAACATGCACCTGCCTTCCTCTCTCCTGTGCCCTTCGCACCACCACCAGCCCCCTCCAACCCCTGCTGACTAGCCCCCCAATTCCTGCTCAGTCCATAGCAGAATGCTACTGCAGCCCAAGGATCTTCAGGAGACCCTGGCTCAGACCATGTCCCTCAGCAGTCTGGCCCCAGGCCCTCCTGCCACTGCAGACCCACAGGCCCTGAGCCTCCTCTGCCTCAGCCTGTGCACGTCTCCTCCCCAGGCCATCATCTATGAGGGGCAAGACAAGAACCCCGAAATGTGCCGCGTGCTGCTCACCCACGAGATCATGTGCAGGTGAGGCCCTACCCCCTCTGGCTGCAACTCCCTCCTTCCCAGCCCCCCTGCTCCCTTGGGGGGAAGGCTTGTGGGGGTTGGGCAGGGGATTGAGGCTCCTGGGCACAGCTTGGCTGAGGAGGTCCTTGAGGCCCCATTAGCCTGGCCTGTTTATGTGGCTTTGCCAAGTGTTTTTGTAAGCACAGCCTCCTGCGGCTTCTGGAAGCTTCACTAATAAGGCTCGGGGGAAGGGCTCGCTGGGGAGGTGGGGGCAGGGTGGGCCAGGCAACCCCAGGCCCCCATGGATTAGCTCTAAGAGGAAACTTTGCAGCCAGCCATGGAAACCTCAAGGCAGCTAGCTCCTTGACAGACAGGGTGGCGGGTGAGGGATATGGCTCATAACCATCTCTTCCTTTACCCCTAAACTTGGCGTTTAGAGCAAGGTCTGCCTGGGTTGATGTCAGCTGTGCCAGGCACTTGAGGCCATTCTCGATGCCAGAGGGGAGCATTCAGAGCCCTGTGGCTGTGGAACTGGCAGCTGCCTTTAGATAGGGCTGCAGGGGGATCCTGTGGTGCTGGTCCCATGACGTGTCTTGTTTTGGATGCTAGGGACCTGGGCAGGTGCATGTGGGGATCTCTCCTGAGCTTTGAGCTGCCTGTCTCAGCTCTTTCTTGTCTGCTTTTTGTGCATGTGGGAAATCGTGCAGAGAGAGGCCCTGTTCATGGGCTCCGCCTGTCCTCTCCTGTATCTTCCAGAAGCTACACGTCTTTGGGTCTAGGGTTTCCAGCTAGCCCCATGCCCAGGGTTGGGCTTCACGAACTCAGCTGGGCCCTCCCCTGCCTTTCTGCCCAGGTCTCTGGAGGGGGCCCTGGGATCCCACAGCCGGGGGGTGGGGTGCCAGCCCCTCCCCTGGAGCTATCCCCCTCATGCCCTCTCTTTGTTCCTCCTCCTCTCTCCTTCAGCCGGTGCTGTGACCGGAAGAGCTGTGGTAACCGGAATGAGACACCCTCAGACCCAGTCATTATTGACAGGTACAGACCAGGGGAGGAAGCCTGGGGTTGCAGGCCAGGGCTGCTGGATTCAGCCTCACTTCGGGGGGGGGGGATCTGGGGAGGAGAGTACCACCTGTGTGGCTCTAAGTTAGAGAGAAGAAGCTGCAGGCACCAGAGAGACACTTAGCCATGGCTCTGGAGGGAAGACCCTGGGAGCAAGTTTCTGGAGCTGCATTCCCTGACCTTTGACCCCGACCCCTGACCCCCAAGGAGGAAGGCATCGAAAAAGCAGGGGGTTGTAGCAGGGGCTTGGGAGGGACAGAGGTAAGAAAGGGCCAGATGGCAAGAGGTGACCTAGCACCCAGGGTCTCAGGGCACCTGGTAGAAGGACTGGCACAGGCATTGGGAGAGTGTGGTCCCCTCTGCACCTGCACATTGTGTGGCTTGACTTTTGTCAGCATGTGTTTTGTTCACTGGGAATCTGGGGGAAACCTGGGCAGTTGCTAGGTGTCAAGGTCGTGTGCGTGAAGATGCAACCTCCCAGTGTGAGTTCCGAGTTTTTTGTGATTTCTTTTCAGATGGGGAAAGCGCACACCAACGGTGCAAAACACAAACCCCAGTGCCACACAGCCCACGTCCTCTTTCACCTTACTTTCTTGGGGGAAGGGGAGAGACGGTGTATCTTAGGTATCTTTCCAGAATAGAATGTCAGTCTTGCCTTATTTTCCTTTTAATACAGCTAACCTGCACAGGGTGCAAACATTCAAAACATTTTAAAGGGGTTGCAGTGAAGTGTCCTTGCCTCCTGCCCCAAGCAGCATCTGCTGTTGCCAGGTCCTTGTGTGTCTTTCCTGAGATAGCTGTACATTCACAAGGAGATGCAGGCAGATGTTCCTTTTTTATCAAAATGGTGGCATCGCAATCGCTCTCCTGTTCTCTGAAAAAAAAAAAAAAAACTATATGGGAGTTCATATCAAGATGCAGGAAGAATGCTTATTCTCATTTGCTGCCATGAGCTGCTCTATCATGTTGCTTCCCAATCATTTCTGTAAGCAGTTGACTGTCAGGAACATTTTGGCTGCTTTCATTCTCTTTCCAGGATCCAGCATTCTGCAGGGCGTGACTTTGTGTCATTTCACGCATGTGCAAATGTGTGTGAAGGATATTTATTACAGCGAGAATTACTGGGTCACAGGACATATGGGTCTGGGGTGTTGATGGTTACTGACAATTTGTGCTTCGTAGAGCTTAGGCCACTTGCCTTCACACCAACAGTTCGCAGAAATGTCTATTTTGTGCACTCTTGTCAGTTAAGTAGTTCATTTGTCCAACATAAGTTTTGAGCCTCATTACTGTGCCGGGGTCTGTCTCTCTCCACCTCCCTGCCACTCCAAGACCTTTATTTTGAAAGAGCTAGGGAAAGAGAAGAAGGGAGGGAAGAGAGAGAATGATTAAGAATCTTCTACCTGCTGGTTCACTCCCCAGATGGTTGCAGTGGCCAGTGCTGGGCCAGGCTGAAGCCATGGACTTGGGTCATCTTCTGTTGGTTTCTTGGGTGCATTAACAGGAAGCTGGTTTGGGAGTGGACAGTAGGACTCGAGCTGGCACCCATATAGGATGTAGGTGGCTGCTTTACCTTAAATGCACAGTGCTGGCCCTGTATGCTGTGACAAACAAACAAACAAACAAACAAAAAAAAAAACACCTGTATTCAAGGAACTACAGGTGGGATATAGACATGACCTGATTAAACAAATGCAGCATAGAGCCTGTCGGATGTTGGTAACAGCTGCCAAGAGAAATCAGTCCACCAAGGAAGTGGAGGAAGTGCTGAGGAGGGGTGTTGCAGTCCTGAGAGAGTGCAGGAGTGAGACACTGCTGCATCTAGGGGAGCTGGGCTGACGGGTTTCAAAAGCAGGTGGGTGGAGGGATGGGGATGGGAGACAGAGATGATGTCAGAGGGAGCGGGCTGCTCCTAAGGAAGACCTGCAGGGAAACACAGGCTATGCGTGGGTCTCAGCTTATCAGCCCTTGGGAAGGCTTTGGCTTTGACTCATGTCCTGGAAATGGAAGCCATTGGATGGGTGGAGGGGCGATTTATGTCTTGGCAGGGTCACCCCAGGCAGTGTTGATGATGAGACCATCATAGGAGGCAAGGGGGTGAATTTTCAAGCCGTGACAGTAATCCCGGTTCAAGGTGATGGGGTCTGAGCCTGGAGTTTATGGTGCAGGTCCTAAAAGGTAGTTGGGTTCCGGACACAGGCGGGTCTGATTTGTTTGGAGAGGAGAGAGGGAGGGAGGGAAGCAGGGAGGGAAGGGAGAATGAGGAGCGGGGAGGGAGATAGAGATGACTCCAAGATCATGGACTTAAGAGGCCTGAGTCTCCTGAGAGGGGAAGAGATTTGGGGAGGAGGAGGAGGAAAAGGGTCTGGCCCAGCTGTGTTTAAGACACTCTCCCCCAGGTGGGGATGCTGGGAAGAAGGCGAGAACTGGAGTGAAGTGCTCAGGGAAGCGGCTCAAGCTGCAGATGGAGATCTGAATTTTTTCTAGAAAGGCTTGGCCTTTCCTACTGATGCGCAGCACTTTTCTGTTCAAACATTCTGTGGATGTGGCACACACTTTTTTTTTCTAGTTGACTGTTTTAACTTAGGCTGTGGTGAAGTCGCCTAATCACTCCCTCTCTTACCTACTGCTTGTTATTGTTGTTATATGAAATATAAGGTTATTTTTAATTATGTTTTCTATGGTTTCTTCAAGTATTTTGATGACTGCTACTTACTTATTGATCCATTTGAAAAAAAATTTGGGTTACTGTCCTTATATATGTGAAAGAAAAGTATAACAAGATAGAAATACTGAAGCCTAAAAATCTACATGTAACTGTAAACTTGCTCACAAACATAAAATGGAAAGATTAAAAATGCCAGTAGGCCCGGCGCAGTAGCTAAATCTTCACCTAGCCAGCGTTGGGATCTTAAAAGGGCGCTGATTCTTGTCCCAGCAGCTCCATTTCCCATCCAGCTCCCCGCCTGTGGCCTGCAAAAGCACTGTACGATGGCCCAGAGGCTTAGGACCCTGCACCTGCGTTGGAGACCGATTAAAAACTCCTGGCTTCAGATTAGTTCAGCTGTGGCCATTGCAACCACTTGGAGAGTTAACCAGCTGATGGAAGATCTTTGTCTCTCCTTCTTTCTGTAAATCCGATCTACCTTCAAAATAAAAATAAATCTTTTAAGAAAAAAAATGCCACTAAAACCTATTTCATTTCCTTTCCACTGCCTACCTCTCTCCTAATGATAGACCAAGTTTGTGTTTTCCGTGATTCTGCCTTTTTTTTTCTTTTAAGATTTATTTTTATTAGGAAGTCAGATATACAGAGAGGAGGAGAGACAGACAGAAAGATCTTCTTCTGTTCGTTGACTTACTCTCCAAGCTGCCTCAAGGACCGGTGTTGAGCCAATCCAAAGTCAGGAGCCTGGTGCCTCTTCCAGGTCCCCCACGTGAGTGCAGGGTCGCAAGCCTTTGGGCCGTCCTCAACTGCTTTCCCAGGCCACGAGCAGGGAGCTGGATGGGAAGTGGAGCTGCCGGGATGCGAACCGGTGCCTATATGTGAAGCCGATGCTCTCAGGCAGAGGATTAGCCAGTTGATCCATCACACCAGCCTGTGTGTAAGTTTTCTCTAAAATATATTTTATTTATTTGGAAGGCAGAGTTACAGGAAGAGAAAGGCAGGGAAAGAGGTCTTTTTATCTGCTGGTCTGCTCCCTAGATAACTATAAGAGCTGAGTTAGAGCAAAGCCAAAGCCAGGGGCCTGTAAGTCAATTCTGTGTCCCTAATGAGTCACAGAGCTCCAGGTGTTTGGGCCATGTTCTGCTGCTTTCCCGGGCGTATTAGCAGAGAGCTAGATTGCAAGTGGAATGCTCTGAAATGGGATGCTGGCATCGCCAGCTGTAGTTTAACCACTCTGCCACTATACTTGTGCACTCTTTTTAGATTTATCCATGTTGTTGCATGTATCAGTAGTCCAATTCTCTGTACCGGTGTGTAGTATTTCATTGTGTGAATATGGCAAAATGTTTATTTTAGGACCTGCATTTATTAGTCTTAATATGGATAACTATCTTTTTAAATATTTGTTTGAAAGAGTTACGGCAGTGTGTGTGTGGTGGGGTGGGATTGATTGATCTTCTATCTGCTGGCTCACTTTCCAAATGGCTGAAACAGCTGGGGCTGGGCCACACTGAAGGCAAGAGTCTTCATCTGTGTCTCCCATTGCGTGCAGGGGCACAAGGCTTTGACCCATCTTCTACTGCTTTCCCAAGCCACAAACAGGGAGCTGGATGGGAAGTGGAACAGCCAGGACATGAACTGGTGCCCGCTGGGTGGTGCTGACGCCACAGGTGGGAGATGAACATGATACACCCCCATGCTGGGCCCTCCCTGTATTTTCTTTGGCAAAATGTCTGCTGAGATCTTCTACATATTGAGCCATCACACTAGCCCTAGTCTACATACACTTTAGATTAGTTTTTATGGATTGTAAGAAATCTGAATTCAAGGCACGTTTTGGGGTTGCTGGCAGATTAGCTGACTTGCTGGGTAGGCTGTTTTGCAATGAAGGTGTGGTTGTCCCCATTTTTCCCCACACTGTCTCTTTTCAAAAGCTCTTCTTTTCCCCTTCATTCCTTTGTCAAAAGGAATGGTCTGGGCGGTGTTTATCTCTGGACTCTATTCTGTTGCACGGATACATCATTTTGGCTTTTCTGTTTTCACCGCTATCGCTTCACAGTACTTCTTCAGTCAGGCAGTGGTGTCTCCCAAGAGTTGTGTGACTGCCTTTTATTTATTTATTTTGCATTTCCATAGGTGTTTAGGCATCAGCTTGCCAATTTCTGTATTTTATATAAAAGCTCACTAGCACCTTGATTGGTATTAAATTGAATTTCTAGAACAATCTGGAGAAACTGATATCTTAATAATATTGAGTGTTTCTTTGTTGAGCTAGATTTCCTGTTCTCTTAGGTCGGTATTTTGTAGA